TTTTTTGATGGCACGTATAATATCATCTTCAGATATTTCAGGAATGCGTAGTAAGTCATGATTTACAATATTATCACAGTTGGACAAAGGAGCAGAACTCCTACTAAAAGCCTTCGAAAAATAGTCAGCGAATGCATTCACCACATCTGAGGGATCATCCAACATTATGTCATTATAACTCATGTATGAGGGAACAGACGTAGTATTTGCTTTAGCGCCAATATATGACCAGAAACGTCTTGGATTTACGCATAAGTCTTCTTCAATTGATACCAAATAGTCCCTATAGGATAAATGAATTAAAGATTTGACTTCAGATCTTAATTTTTTGAATTTATTATAATCATCAATGTTAGAAGATAATTTATAACTTCGCCACAGTTTGTTTTTTAACCTTAATTTCCTAATGATTTCACCATTAAACCAAACTGGGTACTGGCCACGAACATCTCTCTTTTCAGGTACATGTTGTACAAGCAAAGTATTTAATATGCTATAGAACTCATCAATTACTGAGTTTATGTTTACAATGTTAGAAAGTGGTGTCCAGTCAACATTAGTGAACTCCTGGTATAGTAAATTAAAGTTACATTTTTTAAAATTAAGGTTGTACTTGGGTTTAATTGAAGAAAGAGGAAATGTTATATTGGTATTACTTTGGAAATTAGAAGTAATTATTAGCGCAGGATGATGAGAATCTTCGTTAAGAAGAGGATCATCTGCTCTAGATACTGAACATTCATCATAATTACTATACACAAGATCCAACACTCTACTATTTACATTCAAAATAAAGTTGTGCTGAACAAGATTAAAAAATGCTGTAAAGGTATTCAACGAATTCACAATAGGACTGTGATTATTAGTGATCAAGTTCGGTATATTGAAGTCGCCAATAAATAAAATGTTAGAAGCAAAAACATGATAAAGTGATTCGATGACATCAAATAAGAGGTTATAAACATTAGCACCTACGTTGGGAGGAATGTATAAAAGTAAAATATGCAAAATATTATCCAAAAAGTTAATCTTCACACACAAAATATCCACTATGACTAGTTCAGGAAAAGTATCACAGATCGAGTTGAGATCAACAGCAACTGGTTTAAGAATTTTATTAACTGCAAGAATGACCCCCCCTCCTCTACTTGTATTGGTACAATCATATCTCCGATCACACCGAAAAACATCATAAACGACAACATCGAATAGCTCCGAGTCCACAAAACTGCTATTCAACCATGATTCAGTAAATGCAATAATGTCATATTCAGTAGCAGCAGTCGATGAGATAAAGAGTCGCTCAGTTTTGGTACGCAGTCCACGAACATTCTGGTAGTAACATGTAAGATATTGACTAGCATGAGTTATTAACTGGGTAGGTGACATTGATTGCTACCGCGGCTCCAATATGTTGGATCTAAATATATCTAAAGTTTGTTGGTAAGCTACACACTGACTATCCCAGACTGCATGATGTATATCAATACCAGAATATTTAGCGTCTTTTCTTTTTTTTAAGTTATAACAGTTAGCACAGCAGAGAACTTCAGACTTACATTCCTTCAGTGGATGGTTTTGGGCACAACGTGGACAAATATACTCTTTAGACTTACACTTGTCTGCAAAATGGTGAAATCCACTACATTTAAAACATCGGCGCAGCTCAATGGCATCGAATACAATACAATAATCGTAACCAACTAACAACTTACCCTCATCCATAATTCTACCATAAGTAATTCGATCGACCTGATAAGACGCCTGGTACAAATTTTTATTTTTCTTTAAGGGAGCAACATTTAACAGGTTAAACACACTGTTTTGGTTAAAAACATTACTATTTTGACTCTTAATAAAGTTTGTCAGCGAAAGATCATCAAAACGTTCAGAAATGCCAACAATTTTAATCCTAGGGTGTAAGGCAGCAATTTCTTTAACATCATACTTATTGGATAATGTATCACCGGCCAAGTTCTTGAACCTATCACAGTCTCCGGAAGTAGAACAACTAACAATAATGCCACCATCTCTAGCATTTTTAACATTGGTAAGACTAATATTAGATGCAACAGGGTCGATGGACTTCAGTACATCACTCTTGGTCGCACTTACATTTTGTTTGTTTTTAGGCTTCACAATAACGCTAGCTTTATTCTCAACAACAGCAGAGTAGGACAGTTTAGGCTTAATGGAATTAGATGGAAGTTGGGTTTTAACCAGAGTATTCTGCAAATCGTGTTTTAGAGCATGGATGTCAGTATTTAAATCAGAAATCTTTGCATCGAGAGAACTTTGGAAAAATGCTGAGATTTCGGTAAATTTACTATCAACAGAAGAAGTAAGCTGGGCGATTTTATCATTCATGGATATAAGTGTAGAATCAATTCTTGCGACGTCCGTCTTAACTGTGACATCACATTTCAACTTGCATGCATGCAGAGATATAACAAATTTCTGCACTTCTGTACAAAATTGAATTCAGCTTCGGTCATTTGAACACAGGAGAAATGGAACCATTTTTGACAAGGACCTTCATACCCAACAAGTCCATCATTTTTTTCTATATTTACATTTACCACAGCTGTACATCAGTATGTATATTTAGTCGGCGGCTAGCGCCAGACAAAAACTCGGAGCAATTGCAAGAACTCCGCCAGAAAAAAAACGAGAGCACCGATAA